ATATATATATATATATATATATATATGTCAACCGTGGAAGAAACTTGATCTTCCTTCACCAAAGTCATAGATCTCACCTTTCTCTATGAGTCTGCTTCACGAATCTTCTTCAAAATCAAGAGTTTGAAAAGATTAGGGTTTTAGAGGGAGGGAAAAGGCTTCTATAATGTGAGAGATAAAGAAGAAGAGAAAATTCGGGTATATATATATATATATATATATATATGTGTGTGTGTGTGTGTGTGTGTGTGTGTGTGTGTATATATATATATATATATATATATATAATACTATATAACAATATCTTCCAAATTTTTGGGGTTTTACAAAAGATAATTTGATTACCTCGGTGAGTTTTATGTGCCTTAGGCTAAGATATGAAAAGATGCTAAGGTCTCTACCTGAGGTAGTCCGGCTTCTTAGCAACCTCCTTCGTTCAGTCCCTCTTGTCGGTCCTATTTTGTATAGGGTCGGCTTTGGGGGGGACCCTTTGTTGCTTCCTCCCTTGGTGAGGGGTCGGCCCCTACAGCTGATTCGGTCGTCGTTGATGTCGTCGCTACTGTTGTTGATGTTACTGCCAGGGGTCGGCCCCTACAGCTGATTCGGTCGTCGTTGATGTCGTCGCTACTGTTGTTGATGTTACTGCCACTACTTCAGCTTTCTTGGCCACCTTCTTGTAGGCTTAGGCGTAATCCATGTACCCGTGTACCTTGGCCATCAACTGCTCATAGGTGATGACTCGCTTCTTAACGTGCATGTGAACTAACTCTTTGCTCTCCAACCAGGCCATGATAGCGGATATGGCGACCGCACTGTCAAGGTCATCGACTTCTAGTCTTTTGGCATGGAACCTCTTGAAATAGTTCCTGAGTCTGTCTCCAGGCTCTTGCCTCGTCTGCATCAAAACATGAGGAGGCAGCTTCGGCTTAGTGTCGACCAGGAAGTAGTGCACAAACTTCTAACTAAGCTGCTTAAAGTTGTTGATGGACTTCTTCGGCAAGGAGTTCCACCATAGCTTGGCGCTTCCTGACAACGTGATAGGGAAACACCTACAAATGATCAGCTCCAACGCCTATAGTATGGTCATCATATCATAATAATTCTAAGCATGCTTGGCTGGATCTCCTTCACCTTTGTACTTCTCTACGTGAGGCATCTTAAATTTGTCACAAGTAGCATTTATGATGCTGTCGGCGAGAGGAGTGTTCCCCCAATGGCGTCAACAATTGACTAAAAGGTCTGGTCATAACCATACACAAGATTAGTGGTCGAGTGTCCTAGAGAAATACGAGGAAGCTGGGGGTCGCATGATGTCGTCCCTGTGGTGTACTCTCGGCCGTGATGACCTAAACTAGGGATCTTCCCTATTGCTTCCATGTACTGCTTATGCTATCGAGAAGGGGCTGTAAAGTGAGTTTGCTAGCGAGGCGGTAGAGAGGCATGCGCAGCTTGGTCACCTTGTTGTCCGATCTGTGCGGAGTGTTCGGGCAGAGGAGGGATAATGGGTTGTCCTGTCAGAGGTGAAGGAACAAATGATGTGGCGGGCTGTTGGGGAGGAATTTGGTTGCGGAGCGCATTGGTGAAAATAGCAAATTATAGCTGGAGAGACTGAGAGATCCTCCGTGTAGATTCTTCCAACTAGGTCTAAGTAACATAGTCTACATGTGATTCTTTAGGGAGTGAGTTGAAAGTTCGACCAGGACGCTCAGAACCAGACATCTCGTATGAAGAAGAATGATAGGCCTCACTGTGGGCATTAAAATGTTGATGCCAGTTATCAAACATGGGGTTTATTTGTGGATTAAAGTAGAGTTAAGGTCCTTACACTTCTTCAGATGACTAGCTTTGTAGATCACTATTCTTCCCTGCACATGAAGAACTTGTGCGAGGTTGGAGTTAGGTTCTCCGGTTATTTCTCCGACGATCAAGTTAGTGTATGAACTTGAGTGGGAAAATATAAGAAAAAATAGTGAGAGGAATTATTTAGAGTTGCATGAAAAACAAAAAAAAAAAGTTAGCTCATGCAGTGCAATTCCCTTTATAGTAGATCGGAATAACATGAGGTAATTGTGGTCGAGTCCATGGAGGAAGCTTACTCGGCAAGTGTCTTTACATGTGTCGACCACATGCGGGGATGAGTCGTCCAATCGGTTAGTGCGACAGCGACAACAACTGCTTGACACTGATTGGGTCTGATGAGTCATAAAAACTATGAAAGCTAGAGAAATGATGACTCTGATAGTGTATTTAAGGCGAGGGTAGTTTGTTGTCGGCGGGGGTTCGAGGACACACCGCATTTCTACTCATCTGGTTAAAGGTCGACAAATACCGTCTTTTTTTAGTCGGTTATGCAAGTTGTCAGCTAAAATAGAGGGTCGAGTGTGGAGTCTCGTGGGCTCGACCTCTAGAATAGGTCGACAAGTATTGCCTTTCGAGTTAGCCACATAAGTTGTCATCTTATGAAGTCGGCCGTAGGAACGACTCGAGTCGTTGGCTATAGAAGTAATCTGATTAAGCCTGGAGTGGGACACGTGTCGGCTTCCAAGTAGAGATTAACACTTGGTTATTTTGTAGTCTATAACAAAATGAGTTATCTACAATATTCTTAAATATAAAGGATTTTTGCAGTTTAAAATAGTTGTTGAGGGTTTTCTATGTCAACCCTAATAAATAAGAAAACTTTAGGGAATTTTTCTCGTATTTTTGAAATTTGAGAAAGATTATCAACAATTTGCTCAAATTTAAGGGGTATTTTTTAAATTAAAATAGTTAATGAGAGTTTTCCGGGACACTCATCATGGCTCAGGGGTTTCCTAAAATTAACCTAAAAGTAATGTATCCGGCCCTAACTTCCTTCCTGTACAATCTTTACGGAGGACCCTATAAGTTTTTATAATCATCCACGTGATGATGCATGCCATGGATGTGGAAGAAAAGAGTTTGACTTCATTATCTGCAGAACCAATACGGAGAGAGGTGAAAGAGGTGGAGGTCGAATTCCCTCCCTATAACTGGCAAATGGCAGTGAGAGTAAGGGTGTTATCGGAGCGGATATGGTTCGGATATGATGTTTACCATATCCATATCCGCTTTTTATAAATGGATATGGATACGGATCACCCTCGGTAAGAAAAAACTTTAACCATATCTGTATTTATCAGAAACGGATACGGTTCGGATATTTAAGAATCGAATCGGATATGATCACGGATATAAACGGATATTCGACATAAATCTATTAGACATATAATCTTCATACAAAACCATTAATTGAAAACTAAAATTGAGCACAAATTTATTAGACATATAATCTTCGTCCAAAATCTTCAGTAACACAACCCAAATAAAACAATAGTGTCAGGAATTGTAACCAAACTAAAATAATCATATCCAGAATTTCAAAGGTCTATGAATTGAAAATTGAAGGCAAAAAAGTTCAGACAACATTTAACATTCAACATTCAACATTTCACAACATTCAACATTCAACAAATAGTTCATGCCACTAAATAATCTCCAAACGATTAAACAATCTCAAGGCACAACAAATACAGCCTAAAAACCTCAAGATCATGCCACAAAATATGAAGCTGACTGATTAGTACCATCTAAGATGAAAACAATAGCTCTTACCCTAAGATCATCCCATCATCCGAGTCGTAGACCTCCTTGATGTCACCTTGCAAAAAAAAAGAAGAACAATTGCCATATTAAATATGGAAAAATAAAAAGCAAAAAGAACAATCGTAGACCTCCATGTGATTATTGAGTCAAATAACATACCCAATGATGCTTTTACAAAGGTCTCGGTAATCTCCGAGTCATCGTCATCCACTATCTTAGCCACATCAAGAACATCATCCTTTCTAGTTTCAACTTGTGTAACTACAAAAAAAAATAGAATCATTAGATGCTCATTAACCAAAAATAAAAATATAAACTTTGTACAAATTTATTTTTTACCTCCTTGTTCCGCTTTAATCCAATCTTGTGCGCATATCAATGCCTCCACCGTATCTGTTGTCATTCGGCTTCTATAACAATGAATTACACGTCCTCCGATGCTAAACGTGGACTCAGATGCTACAGTCGAGGCCGGTATGTCTAAAACATCTCTTGATACTTTTGCTAGTATAGGATACTTCCCAAAGTTTGCTTTCCACCAACTCAATATATCAAATTTTCCCATTTTTTCATCATCCCATGTGGTAATAATACTCTCCTCCATATATAAATATAAATCCGTTTTGTAGGCTCTTTATCAATTGTTTCAACAAATTGTGCAAATCTTGATTTCCTTTTATCACCAACTCTTTCCACTTCTTTTGTTTGAGAGCTTGAAACATTTTCGATATTTTTAGATTCATCTTTGTCCCTCAATGCATATTCTTCATGCATCTTCTTAATGACTGTAGGCTGTCTAAAAATCACAATGGATAGCTAATCCCTATCAAGCCCTGATAATGGGAGTTACAATCAGACGACTTTCTAATCACTGCATCCGCAACTCTGCAACCGCTATAAACAAGGCCTCATCTCTGAGATGATTGATCTTGATGGCTGCGACAACAGCATGACTAATATTATATTAGCAACTATTAGAGATGCTGATGAGCAGTGTAATGATTTCAGAAATAAAAGGTTGGGCTTAGTTGGTGAGTCGCTTGGTAGAGAGCTGTGGGCAAATATCCATCTTCAAAACACTATGGATGTTGATTCCCGTCAAGCTCTCACAACGAAAGCTACAATCAAATAGCTTTCGGGTCGACAGTCGGAAAGGGCAAATAGGAGACTTTTCACACAGATCGAGAAGAGTTACAATTTGACGACACTTCCGACAGCTGATGAAAACCCTATTCAGTGGCCTTCACGATCGTTGGTGAGAGTTACAATCTGACGACTCTCATATCTTATAACAGGCAAAGACCAATAAACAATGGCCTTTGCAATGTCATGGCAGACGATGTTACAAGTCAACAATCTCTATCAAACGTAGAAGTTTAATTCTGCGTTTCTCAAATTCGAAACGCACACAACTTGTGCGTTCTCCAGCGAATGTCTAACTCTGCAACGCAGAGTTCAAGCACCAAACGCACACATAACGTGCGTTCTTCAATAGGTTCGACAGAAAACAATGGTTGTGGAGAGGCCCTCCCTGTTGGAGGGGCCTCGCTCTCCTTATTAGCTTCATCAAATAATAATGATTTATTGACATCCCCATCGTACTGTACATCAATGCCACCCACGGTGCCTGGAGTGTCTGATTCAAAAAATAAACACAAATGAGCTTAGGTACTTCATTGTCAAAAAAAACATAGCATCAGTTACATAACCTTAAAACTAACCAAGATACTTAACAATCAATCTCCAACCTTGGCAATAAATCCCTGACCTTAACATTAGATACGTAAAGTTAACAATACATTCTTAACCTTAACAATAAATCCCTAACCTTAACATTAGATCAGTAAAGTTAACAATACATTCTTAACCTTAACAATAAATCCATATACTTATCAATCAATTTTTAACTATAACACGCAAACGTAATTGCAAGCCACATCTAACCTGTACAAGTTTGCGGCTCCATCAATGGGCTGGACACCAATCCTGTAGGGCTCTTATCCTTGTATACAGAGAGGGTTCCGGATCGTGCTTCGCTTAGTTCCTCTCTCAGTCTTCTATTTTGAGCAGACAGCTTAGCCACCTTCACAGAAAGAGCACTTATCTTTACACGGTCTGCAGCAATCATACCCTTGAATTTATTCTCGTTCTCGCGGCGTAATGATTCGTTCATTGCCGCGATGCTCTTCCAGTAGATAACTTGCTGAGGCCAATCCATTTGCTCAACTGCATCATTTGGCTGCTCGGCGTCTTCATCAATATCCTGTGGCATCACATATGCAACGGACAGGTAGAGTACTATTAAAAGGATTAATTAATTCAAAAACAAATAAAATCCACGATTGCTAAGTTCTTACAAGTGCATCAATTGGGATGTCGTCATCTTCTTCTCTCCTCTTCTTCTTGTGAAGAAGGTCTATTGGGCCACGAGCCCTGCCGGCGTCTACTGCAGCCGGACCCTTAATCCTCCTCTTCTCTCTCTCTCTCCTCTTCTCTTTCTCTATCCCCTGCTCCTTCCCCCAAAAACCTCCCTCGATTCTTTGAAGTTGTCCATGTTGCTGTGGAAGCTTTATCGTAGCTTTGCTTGCTTTCGCAACAACAGTGGCCAATCTCAAAGAACCAGCAACGTGCCCAAGTCTCACCCAATTTGTCAGGGGAGGCCTCACCGTACAACCAAGTGCTGGCTTCTTGATGCCGGTGAGTTCATAATACCACAACTGCACATTAGAGATATAAAAACTTAACAAACACCTTCATCCGTAACAATTAATAAAGTAACCCTAACAATAAAAACGTAACCTTAACAACCAAACCGTAATATTAACAACCAAACCGTAACCTTGACAACGAAACTGTAACATTAACAACTAAACCCTAACCTTCACAATCAGTAAAAAACATGATTACTTACACAAACTAGAGGGGTACACCCTTGCAGATATAATGTCGTCTTCCCTGGCTCAGGACCCTTCAGTGCCCTCTCTATCGCGTCAGATGTCTCACTGAATATATAGGTCCCCCAAGCAGTGTTGTTGACCTGTTCGATGCTGTCGACGTACTTGAATAAATGCCTAGGAACGCCGGAAACACTGCTTGGACACCAAATCATGCTCAGCTGATAGAGGATCTGTAGCAGGACAAAGTCCTTCACATCTCGGCGATCAGAAGATAGTACCAGCTTCAAGAGCAGGTCCTCCACATTGCGTCTGGTGGGGCCTCCTTTGGGGGGAGCTATACTGCTGGAACCCCCCGTCTCGGGTTTGTCAAAGAACCTGGACCAAATCCTATTTTTCCTGTCCCGATTGTGGTCAACATGAAGCCCCTCATTGGAGAACCATGTATGCTCCATTACCCACTCAAGGTTGAATGAGCATGGGATCTCTTCTCCATCATTCCTATCGGTGAAGACGAATTTTTTGCTCTTCTTGTCCCACTGACTCAAAATGTGCTCAAAGGTGGGAAGATCGACGCCAGGTGGGCCAAATTGGACGTAGTGTCTGAATACACTATCTTCGTAGGCCGCAAAATGCCTTGGCCCCATACGCGTCACCAAATTCTGCATGAAGTCGTGATAGGCACCGAAGCTGGCGGTGGGCCGCAACGTAATAGCTGGCTTTGCCCTTTTTCTACAAAACAAAAACACAAGACGAGAGCATTTTTGAGTATAATCAGTAAACATAACAGCTATGCTGTAAACTTTGCGGGTAAACCAACAACCTTAACAGCAACCACATAACCTTAACAACAAAAACCTAACCTTAACAACCAAAGCCTAACCTCAACAACTAAACAACAACCTTAACAATAAAGGCAGTAACCAACAACCTTAACAACAACCCCACAACCTTATCAACCAAAACCTAACCTTAACAACCAAAGCCTAACCTCTACAAATAAACAACAACCTCAGCAATAAAAGCATAGACCTTGCATGTTAACAGTAACCTCAACAGCTAACAGACACCGTAATTTTGGACCTTCCCACCAGACTAAGAGCATTATCAATCAAACCGTAACCTTAACAACATAAAACTTGCGGTAAAAATTACCTTTTGGGTGCTGCCACGTGCTTCTCTTCTTCTCCTCTCTGTAGACCAAGGAGCGCTCTAGTGGCATCGTTGGACGCGCCGGTGGTGCCGGTGCTGCCCTCTAGACCTTCGCGTGGGCCTACACTTAAATTTTGAGGCGGGCTTCTGGGATGAGAATGGCTGGTTGCGATGTCCTCTAGAACATCACCAATCGCAGCCCGAGCTTCAGATTCAGCCCGCACTGCAGTTGTCTGGGCTCTTTCTGAGATTTCGAACCGCTGGGCGTAATCGCTTTCGCTGTGGTCGGCATTGAGGTTGGCTTTGGGGGTTGAATCGCCGGCCATTTTGATCCCTTTGCTTTGATTCGGTTTGAGTTGGGGTCGGTTGATTTAGGGCTAGGGTTTTGAATTGGGTTTCTGGAGTCGGTTTGCTTGCAGAAGAGAGAGATGACAGGGTACGGACGAGGAGGTAACTCATAACGGGGAATTTTAAACGTAAGGGTATTTTGGGCATTTCGAGCGGGGTTTAAACGGCGTTACGCCTGGGGATTGGTTTTGGGGGCTGGAAGAAAATCGGGGGCGGTTTTGGGGGTAAAAGGAACGTTGAAAAGGTCTTGGGGGGGCAGAGCATGTTTTGGGTTGTTTTGGGGGCTGGAAACAATTTTCCCAAATATTTAATATGTAGGGTCTTAAATTTGCAGTTAAGAGAGGAAGCAAGATTTCTTCCTCTGTGAGAGTCAGTGCCAAAATAGATGAGAGAAGACGTAGCATAGTTGATACTTAGCTCTGAATTTCTTTTAAGTTATATGAGATAGCTTTAAGAGTAGTTATATCTTTGAAAGTACTCTTGACAAAGAGTGAAGTATCATTCGCAAACTGAAGGCTCTTTATATGGTTCAGGAGCTCTTTATTTGGTTCGAGGGCTCTTTAAGTAGGCTGGACAATAAACCCTCATCGACATTGTTGAAAATCATCTTATTAAGGACATCAACTATAAGGTTAAAGAGCATAGGAGACAACGGGTCTCCTTGTTTAAGACCTCTTTTGCATTGAAAAAAATTAGAGGGAGAACCATTAAACATAATAGCACAATTAGAAGAGGAAATGATGTTATAGATCCAGGAGCACCATTTATCACCAAAATCTCTTGCTTTGAGCAAATTAATCAAGAAGGTCCAATTAATAGAGTCAAAAGCTTTAGCAAAATTAATTTTAAACATTGCAACTTCCTTCTTTCTTTTATAACAATAATGAATTATTTCATGAGCTATTAAGATAGAATCAAGAGTGGATGTCCCTGGTTGGAAGGTAGACTGTGTTGGAGCTACCAGATCTGACATAAGAGGAGATAATTTATTTGCAAGCATCTTTATGAATATTTTGAAAACACAATTGATAAGGCTAATTGGCTGATAATCCTTCCCTAGATAAGTGTCATGGACTTTAGAAATTAACAAGAGTAATAAAAACCTTATTTAATCTGTGAAGAGAGGAAGCATCATGATAAATATGATTCATAAGAGCAACAATGTCAGTTTTGATCAGATCCCAAAAAGTTTGAAAAAACAACGTAGAAAAACCATTTGTTCCCTGGTGCTTTGTTAGGATGCATGCTGAAGACAGTTTGTGTTAGATCATGTTCAGAGAAAGAATTTTCAAGAATAGGAAGATCAGTAGCTTGCTGAGGATATAAGGAAAACCAATCAATGGAGAGATTACTCAACTTGTCTTGACCAAAAAGAGAACAATAATAATCATATAAGGCTTGAGTTTTTTCAGATTCTCTAAAAAGAATAGATCTATTATGATTAATGGAGACAATATTATGATTAATGGAGACAATATAATTCTTTCTTCTGTGAAAAAAGGTTGTCTTATGGGAAAAGAATAGATCTATTATGATTAATGGAGACAATAATAATCACCCTCTTTATAGTTATAGTATCATGGTTTTTCTCCTTTGGTTTCATCTGCAATTGATTTTATCAATGATAGAAGTGTTATCTTAAGAGTATGAATCTTTGGTTCTTTGCTTTCTCAAAAATTCTTGCTTTATACTATCTTCGTAGTTTTTTAGCATCTTACAATTTACTTTGATTCGATGAATTTCATAGACATGTAATCGGAAAATCTCACGCTCCTAATAGGCATAAGTAGCTTACCGCTCGAAAAAAATTAGAACCATTAAAGCTCAAAATATCCAATGATAAAGAGAGATATTTATAGTATCTACTGTTTGTTGCATGACTATTATTTGTTTTGAGGAGATAGAAAAAAGTAGGACTAAAGCAAAAAATTGATGCTACTATTTTAGTAACATTTATATTGGATTATTATGATTAAATAGGTCGTCTACTGTCATCTGTATATAGGTAGCATTGGTTGATTGAAACTCAATGTTGTATATCAAATAAAATTCTTTTATAAAATTATTCATTGTTTTCTATTGTTAATGATGCAAAGAATCTATTATCACCCAGTTGATACATAAATGTAATTTTATTATTCAATCCTTTTGAATTTTTAAATTCTATCCATATATTTGACACATGGTTTAAATTAAATAAATCTTAATGAAATGAATCAATAATAAAAGAATAAATTAAAAATTTACCACGTGCATTGCACGTACAATCCAACTAGTTTATTATAAAATTGGCACCTTTAACAAAATGTTGATTGTTTATTTCCTATTTACGTCTATTTGTAGCAAAGACGATAAATGATCATTAGAAAGTATTAAATGATCTTATGTCCATTGCATTTAATGAGTGCCAAAGAAATGGCCATTCTGAAATAGACATGAATACTTTCTCTTAGAATCATAGTACGATAAGAACCAGGCACTTTTAAGCTTTTCCTCAGGGCCCGTTTGGATAATGGAAGTATTAGAAGTAAGAAGTAGGTTATAGAAGTAACTTTCAAATCTATGAAGTAGGAAGTAGTGAAAATAACATTTTTTGTTTGTTTCATATATTTTTAGAAGTAATGGAAGTAGAACTTCTTCCTCTTCATTTACTTTTTTTGTTTGGATAACATTTGGAAATATTATTAGAAAGTAATTTTATCAATGAAAAGTTGTTAGAAGTAACTAATAAGGAAAATATTAATAAAAAAATTATTTATGTCATAATTAATATGCATTTCAACTACTTCCGAGCTACATCTGAGTATTGAGTATTGAGTATTGAAAAAAAAAATTTGGAAGTAAGGATGACACGTAGGCGCCACATAAGCATTTATGTAAGTATTGGAAGTAAGTTTTTCAGAGAACCAAACACACTTTTTTGCTTGAAAGTAGCAGAAGTAGCCTCTACTTCTTTTACTTCAGCTACTTCACAATTACTTTCGTGCAAACAAACAGGCCCTTAAAGGACGTTGACATGTGGAAAGGGATTATTTGCTCCCCCCCCCACCTTTATATTTACTAAAAACATTTGAAAATCATAAGGCCTTGCTTTTCTTTAAGGGACTGTTTGGTTCAATTTCTATAAAAAAAAAGAAAAAGAAATGTGCTCAAAATTTAATTTTTTTATACTTCTATAAAATTTGTCGGAAAAATTTATAAAACTCAAATAGTACCATATTTCTTGTTTTTTGCTATTCTTTATTTGGTTCAAAGTATGAAAAAGTTCCTAACTTTATAGAAAATATGTTGTTGTTTTTTTCTTTTGTTTGGTTGGATATCACTTTATAGAAAAATAGATTATTAACAATGTCCATGGGAAATCACATGAAGAATGATACTGGTGTACTTAATTATTTTTTAATATATGTATCAGATTTCTAGATAATTTCTTCTCATTTGGAGAGGAAGTTGATTTCCATAAAATACCCCACTTTTCACTACTTTATGGAAAATATTTCTATAAATTTTTTTTAAAACATAGTTTATGAAAATCTACAGAAATCTATTATCTACAAAAATGCCATTGTCAGTTGTTTTCTTAAACTTTTTTATAAATGGGTGAACCAAACACCCCCCAAGGAAACAAGTGACAAAAGATCTTTTTCTTTTCCTTATTTATTTACTAAAAAGGATAAAAGAAAAGAACTTTTAGTGCATGCTGAAGAGTAAAGCGGAAAAGGAGAACTTTAGTTAAAGAAGCTGCTTTTTATGATGTAGAGGTGAAATTTTGAGCTACTAAACGTACAACTGTTTACTTTCGGGGTAGGAAACTAAAGTTAACCTCAAATCTGAAATTATTTCTTTATTTTTTATAGGAAGAAAACCATATTCCTATATATATGAACTCTAAGAAAAAGTAAGTTTTAACTTAAATCTTCATGTTTTACAGGCTTTGCCTTCAGTTTTGATAGTTAAATTGAAGGATAACGCTATTCAATTATTATTGTATTTTAACTCACCGAATGTGATCAAGACAATTGAGAGGATACAATATAATTATAGCGGTCTTCGGTTCAACTGGGTTATTTTTAAAAAAAATACTATTGCATCTTATAATTTAATCAATGGTGGAACATCACTTTTTTTTATCAAAAGGGAAATAAAATGGCGCATCAACTTGCTAAATAGTGTTCAAGTTTTTTGCCCTTGTGCTTTGTGAATTGTGGTTACGCTCTAGTTAACCTACTATCAATTCTGTGGTTTTCAAAATAATTATTTTAATATGATAGTCGTTGAACTGATAGATCTAGAGTATATTATTTTCTTAATTAACTAGCATTGTCAGCAAATTAAAAAGATTTGTTAGTTGAAGGTAGGTAAGCTGAATTCAGAAGTCCAAAGCTTATAATCTTCACCAAACTGAATAAAGAAAAAAAAGGAACTGTTCATCAATCATCGAGTCAGTCATCTTTTCATGGGTCCCAACTCCCAAGAGCCTTTTAATCACTTGTCAAGACTCAAACCCAATCAATTTCCACTTAAAATGATACGTACTACATTGATCATAATTAGATAGTACAAATCAGGTGCCTCTTACCTCTTTGTTTTGTTTGTACAAATACAAAACAAGGGCACATCTACTTCTTTCCTAGCCAAACTAAGAACATCAAATAGTTATAGAAACCTTTGCGATAGTATTTGATCACTAAATAGCCGATGTATCAAAGATGCAGCACTTCGCTGTACTGATCCAAAAATAGACAGTGTTTAATACGCCAACTATCGTGTGACCAGAGTTGAATATTTTCTCACACCTTAATAGTGTGGCATGGGGTCCCTAAAACTTGGTTCCTTAGGGCCCTAAGCTTCCTTTCTTTAATTGCAGGATCCTCTAGCAACAGCACCTTGTCCGTATTTTTAACCCCAACCATGTGCAAATGATCACTGTCCTCTCTTTCTTTTCCTTTGAACAGAAGCCTCTGCTCTCTTGGCTCAAGTCCTGTTACTAGGGACAATAACATCTTCAACTCCCCTGAAATCCAAAGTTAACAATATCCATAAGTAAAACTATAATTACAAAAAAAAAAAGTGCAATTCATAAGAAATAATAGTATTACTTACATTAGAAATGAATCACAAGTACTTATCTATTGTTGGATGGTTATGACTGAGAAATTGGTTTCTTACCTCAAAAGTGACGGTGAAGAGAGTTATGGGTTGAAATTCAACATCGGAGTTAAATAGGAAGTTGAGAGACTAATATCTAGTAAGCTAAACTTTTTTGGTTAATTTGGTTGACAAT